GGACCCGCCGTGCGGGCATGGAGCAGGACGGGGCAGACGTGCAGTTTGCTACGGGCGGCCCCAGTGCTGCCAGCGGAGCTGGCACTGAGCCCCAGCAGTGATGGGGTCCCTTGGTCCCCAAGGCCAACTCCGCGGGTGCCGCACCGAGCTCCTTCCTTCCCTCTTTCCGCAGGGCCTACGTCTCCCTGTTCATGAGGCACTTGTGTGAGCCGGGAGCAGATGGTGCGGAAACCTTTGCAGATGGCGTTCCCCGGGAAGGGCTGTCGCGCCAGCACGTGCTGACGAGGATCGGAGTTATGTCACTAGTAAGGAAGAAGGTGGGTGAGTAAAATTTTAAGCGTGCTGTTTCAGGTATGTTCTGGACACCTGTGAGTGTCATTAGCTGCTCGGTGCCTTCCTGCCAGGGATCCTTTCCTGACTCTCTAGGACTCGGCATACATTCATTTTTGTCATAAACATATACGTGAAAATAGTACAAACTGCCTTTCACATCCTGCCACCTCTTTCCCGGGAGGTGCAGAGGAAGGGCAGGTGTTCAGCAGCCTGAATGGCAAAAGAGGAGAAGGGCCTTTGGGAGCGAGTTCAGCCCCACGGAGCTGAGATTTTCTGCGGTGTCAGCTGTCCCTGGTGGGGGGCGGGTGCGGAGATCCTGCCGCTGAGCGAAGCTGCTTTTGAAGCAGCTGAAGAGGCGGGAGCTGCCGCGCTGGACTAGAAATGTCAGGAAAATAGGCTCTTCAAGGACTGCGTTTGCTGCGGGCTGAGTGGCAGCTCCACGGACCTGCATGCAGCATTTTAGTGGTTTAGATCACTTGGAGGTAGAAGTACACACTCAGTGAAAAGTCATATGCTTTGAACTTGCACAAATTCTTATGTTTATAATTTTTTTTTCATTTTGGATGGGACTATTATGGTCGCCCAGTCAGACCTCCTGTACTGTGCAGGCCAGGGACTTTCACTTGCCAAGTCTCGCTTCCTTGAACCAGAGCAGGTCCTCTGGAGAGCCGGCTCACCCCCCTGCCACGGAGCCGCACGTGCGGTCCAACGCGGTGTTTCCTCCTTGCTGCTGCTGGAGCACGGGGAGATCCCTGCGAGAGCCCCCGCTCTTGAGCACAGAGAGACCCTCTTGTCGGGCACTTTGCTTGCGGGGCTCGGCGCGGCGCTGGCTGCAGAGCAGCAGCCTGTGCAGAGCCCGTCACCCCGCGGTGTGTGTGACCTGTCCCGCGCTCCTGCCCCAGGTGCAGGAGTTCGAGCACGTCAACGGGAAGTACAGCACCCCGGACCTCGTCCTCGAGGGCGCGGAGGGCAGGAGGTGCAGCGAGGTGGTTTCCTCAGAGCCCAACACCCCCGTGCCGGCCAGCCCAGCGCACATGCACGCGGGGCGCACGGCCCCTGCAGGTAAACGGGCCGCTCTCCGCTCAGTGGGGACAGGGAGGTCGGTTTTGCGGGTACCGGCCTGCGCCTGGCGCGTGCAGACGGCCTCGGCTGCCTGCCTGCAGCTGTCCCGTTTCGCTGTGGTTGCAGATAAAACTGAAACTCCACTGGGCTTCCAGGAGGAAAAAGATCAAGCGGAGCAGAAGCCCAAGAAGGTGCCTGAGAGCCAGGTAGGGGACTTGTTCCAGCGTCTCCCCTGTGGAGCTGCCTTGCCCAGGCACTCTGAGGGCTCCCTGGGAGAGGGACGGAAAGGGACGGAGAGGGGCAATGCGCTGCCTCTGCTCCCTCCTTTCCTGGGCTCCGGCCTCTCCCCTTGAAGACCTGCCACAGCCCCATTCCTTGGGAAACGCTACAGCGTTTGGTGGGAAGCAAGTCAGGTCCTGCTGAGCACTGGGCTAATCTGGTGTGGTTGGTGCAAATTAAGGTGCCTGCAAATGCCGAGAAGGTGGAAAGGGAAGAACACCTAGAAAGCTCCGACAGCAAGGAGAAAGCGATGGAAGAGAAGCAGGAGGAGAGCGGAGAGGCCGAGCCTTCTCTGGAGCCTCTAGGGAAAGGTGAGCGTGCGGGTGACCTGCGGTCCCCGAGCGGCTCCACTGCGAGCGGCTCCGCTGGCGCTTCCCTGCGCCCCGTCGGTGCCCTCGGTCTGTGCTCAAAGCCCAGGGCTGCAGCAGGGGCTGGGCAGGCACCGCAGGCACCACCGCACCTCAGATAATGCTGATGATGTTTTGTCCTTCTGTAAACAGCCCACTTTTTATATCCAGGTTATAATATCAAAGTATTATTTTCATGTAACGTGAAAATCGGAACAAAGTAAATTATGGGACCTGCACATTTCCTGGTGTGTTTTCTATTGATGTCACTATGTTCCTTGAAGTATCTCAAGGAACAGGGAAAAAATAAATATTTTTTTTCTGGATAAAATGCAAATGAATATCCATACAATATAATGTATGGAAGAGGGGCCCATGCAGACACATAAGTTGTTATTCTCTGAGCAGCATTTTGTCTGTCAGCATTCCTCCTAGTCCTGCTCTATTCTGCAGATGAGGTGATTCGAGAAAAAGAGAAGCCCCTGGAGAAGTCGGAGCTGAGCAGCAGCCCAGGTAAAGGGGAGGACAAGGATGTCAGAGCAGGTGAGGCCGAGGAGGCCGGCTGGGCGGGAGGGCAAGGCCAGCGCCGGGGGTGCCGAGAAGCCGTGAGCAGCAGGAAGAGCCCCCGGGCACGGGCACTGGCCCTGCCTGTGGCCAAAGCAGCGGGGTTGCTGGCCGGGCGGGCGGCTGCCTCCTGCAAAGCGGCCAGGTGGCTTTTGGGGCGATGGTGCCAGCCAGGGCCTGGGGGAACCTGCGGGGCGGAGGAGGGTCACACAGGGATGATCTCTCATGTTTGCCAAGCAGAGGATGCCAAGGTGGAAGAGAAGGAGCAAAATGAGACTCAACAAAATGGTGAAAAAGAAGAAGAAGAGGAAGGAAAGAAGGATGAGAGGAATGCAAACTTCAGATTCATGTTCAACATTGCTGACGGTGGCTTTACAGGTGACAGGGAGAGGCAGGGCTTTGGTTACCTCTGCAGAGCTTGTGCATGAAAGCAATAGCCCGCGCAGTCCTTTCAGGAGCTTGCGAACCTGGTAGCGCTTTAGTGCGATCCCTTTACAGCCTCACTGCAAAACGCCCCGTTTTTGCACCGTGCTGGCGGCTGCCCGGGAAGCCTCGCGGCTCTTCCCGCCTGCCGAGCTCATGCCGTGTCCCCAGCAGCGCTGCTGCCTGACCGGCCTCTCTCCTCCTCTCCTGCAGAGCTGCACACGCTGTGGCAGAATGAGGAAAGAGCTGCCATCTCCTCTGGCAAGATCTATGATATCTGGCACCGGAGACACGACTACTGGCTGCTGGCGGGGATTGTCACGTATCCTTTGAAGCTGAGGGAGGTTCCTGCGGGCCGGGGGAGGCGGTAGGGGCACATTTTCCTGCTTGGGTGCAGAGCGCTGGAGCGACAGGGGTGCCTGGAGGTGCTGCACCGTGCCGGGAGGGGACAGCAGTTCCTGTGCTGGCCCCTTTCTCCCTTGACACATGTTCCAGGCACGGCTACGCGCGCTGGCAGGACATCCAGAACGACCCGCGCTACGTCATCCTGAACGAGCCCTTCAAGTCGGAGATCCACAAGGGGAACTACCTGGAGATGAAGAACAAGTTCCTCGCGCGGCGCTTCAAG